TCCTAAGTCTTAACACCAGTGAGAGATGGAGAACAAGTCCTTTCCGTGGGACATTTTCCACTCTGCATAACATTCTATAGGTCTTAGGCACAGATAGCATTCCAAGTTCAAGTCTAGTTAGGTCCTTACATTGCTTTCCCTGGATCAGAATATCTTAAGTGTCTGATTTTTTAGGTGTCAATGGTACTATTAAATGACAGCTAACATTTGTCAAGGACTTATCCTGTGCCCAGTGCTACTGTGCAGGTCTTATAAGCACAACTCTATTTAACTCTCAACAGTTGAGGCTTATACCTTATGGAGATGAAAGAAACTCACTGTAAGTGAAGCCTTTCCAGAAGGGCCCGTGAGTCAAGGAGTGGATACTGCTCTTCGTCTCGCAGTAGAGTGGTGCTTCTTACACTGGGGGGCACACATCACCCAGGAATGGTGTAAGAAGTTATGTTTCTCTCAAGCTAGGGAGGTAGCCCAGTTGGCAAAGTTCTTACTGCACAAGCATGAGGACCTGAGTTCAGTTCCCAGAATCCACTACTAAGCTAGGCGTAGTAGTACGTGCTTATAATCTCAGCGCTGGGAGAGGAAGACAGGCAGATCCCTAGTGGCTCAGTGGCCAGCCAGGCTGGTCTGCATGGCAAGTTCGAGACCAGTGAGAGTCCCTGTGTCTCAAAAACAAACAAACTAACTGAAAAGCAAGCAAGAAAGAAAAAACACAAGGCAGACAGCACCTGAGGAATGACATTTGCTTTTTAGTTAGTTTGTTGACCTCCAGCCTCCACATAAATACACACGCACCTACACACACACACATGAACACACAAACACATACACAGAAAAATGAAATCAAGTTTATCAGTGGGTTTTGAGTGGGGCCTGAGATACAGCATCTCTAAAGCTGCTGGCTTGGGGACCAGGCTTCCTTTGGGGCCCATCTGTGCTCCTATATCTTTTCTTCTGTATCTGGTATGGAATTTATTCATTCTGCCACTCATTCACTCTCCATCATTTGCAGAGGTGGGCTATTCACAAAGAACACCAGCCATACTGTTGGAAACCAGGTCTCAAGTCTGGCTCTGCCCTTTCCTCCATGAGCTAACTTCTGAGATTCAGCCGTCCAGTTTGTAAAATGGGGGTGAAACTTTCATTGCATAGCATCTTCATAAATATCAACTAAAGTAAAACACAACAAGCAAGAGTCTGCTGGGAAGCCTAGGATGTGGTACACATTCAGTAATGTTTATAGTTTGGGATCTTATTTCAGGACTCAGTTGTTTATGCATTCAACACCGAATCCTGTGTGATTCCCAATAGGCTTATTTCAATGTTTGCTTACGTGATACATATTTAAGCAAAGATCTCCATAACCCTAGTGGTTGCAACAATGGACACAGCAATCAAGAGACAGAGAGACTGATTCTGGATGTAACATGACTTGTGATTACATCAGCTGAAGGTGGAATTGGCCGAGCACGTCCAGGGGATGAGCAATGGGGGCCACATGGTGAATGACTCTTCTGGAAAAGAGAAGTGTGTATGAGCAGTAACAAGCGAACAAGCCTGGGATGGAGTGAAATGTCAACAGATCACAAACTATTCATTATCTGGAGTGAGCTAAATATTATGTAGACAATTATTGACAGGAGTCCGAGAGGAACAATAGGGAGAATTCCACCTCCCCAGCAGAATTCCACCTCCTTTTGGAGCCAGGATTGGCGGGCCTAGGGTTCAGCATTTGGACCAGGTATTTTACACAGAGGGTGAGTGAGCCCTGCCCCCCTCAGGCCAGAGGGAGGGAGGCAGTGGTCCTTTCACCCCACCCATCCAACCAATCCAGCAAGATGGCTCACCCAGCACACAGGGCTTTGCTTTGAAAGGGGGCTTTATGCACAGGCTGGGCCTGCAGAGTGCAGCCTCCCCAGCCTCCCTCCTTCCCTCAGGATGTCATCTTTTGAGATGATCTCATGTGGAAGCCTCGCTAAGTAAATTCGCTAAATGCCTATTCATCCCCATCAGATGGGGACCCGGTGAAGCGGGAAATGTGAAAATGGCCCCAGCTCTAGGCCCTGAAAGATGCTTTCTGGGGTTGCCAAATGGAGCCACAGCTGACCCAGGGAGGCCTGAGACTTCCCAGAGGGACCAGAGTCTGGCCCCTTTAATCCTCCCACTGAGGCCCTGTTTATTATTCCTGTTGCTGGAGCCCATTCAGAGGTTAACTTGTCCTTTATTCATCAGGACGACAATAATGAACTGTCGCAGAGAGTGGTGAGGGGGTTGGTAAATAAGAACGGCTGAGCAGCAGAGATGGACTGGGCCTCTTGATGGCTGGGAAAGAGACATTGTCTGGTTTTCTTCTATAAGCTCCTTGCATTGCTACTTCCCCAGCGGCTCCAGGAAGGCCCCCTTTTTCTGCTGGCTACCTTGGTTGCACGGTGGGCTCAGTCCTCACTGGAGTCACGTCACTGTGCTGACACATGAGGCTGGCTTTTACGGTCCATCGTGGGATTCGTCATCCGTGTGCACATCAACATTCCCTTTCCTCTGTGTGTGGTAGATCTTACTGCACTGTAGACGCCTGGGACTCTCTGTATCTGCCGCCCCAGGATGGATAGCTTTGAATTGGCATTTATTTGTGTAATAATCTGAGACAGTGGCTACACTCGTTTTCACTGCAGTGTCTTCACTGTTCTCTGCTGCCCTTCCCCATCTACCCAGAACTGTGCGTTGGTCAACATATGTCATCCATTGAGTGAAAGGGAGCAAGACTGCAGAGTGGAAGGGAAATGGAGAGAGCTGCAGGGCTGAAGGTGGTACAGACCAAGGCAGAAAGAGCAGAGCAAAGAGTATTAGTTGTGTGCCTACTGCCTACTATGTGCCCTTCTCTATCTAGTCATCTGCCTGGTGAATGTGCACAATGGACCTACTGTGTGCTGTTTGTTTAAATCTGAAAACTCAGAAGGAAATGCATTCAGAGAGGGCCACTGTTCAGAGAGGTCAACTGACCTATCCATTAGATACACGTTGGGCTTTAATGGTGTGCCTGGAATCTGTTTCTAAATCTTTCTGCTTCTGGAGCCCAGGCACCACCCTGCTTCTTAAAAGTCCAGGGTCAGGGCTGGGGGAGTAACTCAGGAAGTAAAGCACTTTCCACTTGCCATGAAAACAGGAGGACCTGAGTTTAAATCCCCAGAAGTCATATAAAGCCAGAGGCAGTAGTGTGCATGTGTAATCCCAGTGCTTCTGCTGTGAGGTGGGAGGTGGGGACAGGAGAATCCCTGGAAGTTCGAAGGCCAGCATGGTGTGTGCAGTGGTGAACAAGAGACCCTGCCTCAAACAAGGTGAAAGGCAAGGACTGACACCCAAGGCTGTCCTCTGACCTCCACACACGTTGTGGTATAGTCATGCCTGCGCACACGCACACACACAAACACACACACACACACGTACATGGGCACACACGCACGCATGCACACACATACATGCGCAATCAGAAACGAAAGTCCAGTCTTACTGCATTCCCACAAATGCTTATCCTTCTTGCTGCCTCACCCGGTCTGGAAGAATGGTTAACCCCTTCCCTCTAAGGAGCACTCCCCCAGCAGTATAGCCCAGTGACAAAGGAGCTGTCACATCAGCATCCTGTACCTGTTTGGTTTATTCAGCAGAAGAGGCGACTGCATCTCTGGCAGATGGAGACCTGTGTGACTGCCTTTTAAAATACTGTCACAGCTGTATGCACAAGCTGATTAGCTGTGACGGCACTGCGAATGCCAAGATTGATGGCGATAAATTTGGGATAACAGTGCCGGGAACAATGGCATCCGTTTGCGTGGCACTTCATATTTTTTAAACCTCTCTCAATCTGCAGCCCAGTGGTTCTCGAGGACTGGAATTCATTCACTGCTCAGTGTGCATGGAAAGAGTCAGTCACATTCAGCCCATCCCGATTCATGCATTTACTCACTCATTCATTCAGCAAACATAAATGAGGCTCCTACCACGTGTCAAGGATGAACAGATCTGACCAGAGTCTTTCCTTGTGAGCTTTACTTTGTAAGATAAGCCATGAAGTGCTTTCCAATGTGATGTGCTTGGCAAGTAAACAGGGTGACATGACAAAGGGAGGGGAGGCAGGTGCTGCTTTACATGGAGTGGCCAGAAAAGACCACTGATGAGGTGGCACTTGAAAGACCTAAATGACAGGAGCAGGCCAACAGTGGGAAGATTCAGGGCAAAAGTGTCCAGGCACAGCAAGTGCAAAGGCCCTGTGGCTGGTCTGTGCCTGACAGTAGGCGGATACTGATGACTTATTGTTGGCCAAGCCCAATGATGGATACAGGAGATAGGATGCTATGCCTGTCCTCAGAGTCCCCAGCACCATGGAGTATATGGAAGAGAGGTCCACACACAGCCTATGAAGAGTAGCTTTGTCAACTTGACACAACGTAGAATCACCTGGGAAGAGGGTTCCAATGAAGGAGCGTTTATATTGGGCTGGTGTGGACATTTCAGGTGGGGAAGCTAATTAAGCTACTTATTGTGGGACAGCCTAGCCCACTGAGGGCGACACCATTTTCTGGGTAGGGGGTCCTACACTATCTGAGTGGAGACATGAAGCTGAGCGCAAGCAAGCGAGAAAGTGGGCCTGTGTTTACTCTCTCTGCTCTTGACCGTGGCTGTGATGTGACCAAGTGTCTCAGGCTCCTGCCGCTGTGATGGATTATGACCTGGAACTGTGAGCTAAAACAAAACTCTTCTCCTCTGAGCTGCTGTTGGTTAGGGTATTTTATTACAGTAACAGAAATAACAGCCTGTTCTCACACAGTGTGACAGGCCCAGGGATGAGGGACCCAGAGGATGCATCATCAGGCTGTGGTGTGGTCAGAAATGGCAAGTTCAGGAAAATAGCCCAGAGGGAAATGTGGCTTCTGTGACTAAGATAGGAGCTAAGACACAATGTCTCCATGGTCTGTAGAGAACCCTGACGCTCTCCTCTGTTTCCCCAGGACCAATGACCAGCTGGTGGCATTTCTCTCGCGATACCGAGATATGAATTTCTTGAAGTCACACGGCCGGGACAATGCAAGGTAATACAATGGCAAAATAGCTAGGTGATCACTGGGGCCTTTCTTCCAGGCTGGTTTTACACAACCAGGAGAAAGTTGAGGACAGATGGGCCTTAGCCATCTGCATGTGGTAGCTCAAGGGGTCTCTTCCTGTCAGCCAAGGACGGAGAAAACTAAATGTTTCTCGTGGATTTACAGCCCTTTATACCTTCCTTTTCCAAAGCAATCTTATGAATTCATTCTTATGTGTTTATGTGTGTGCAGTGTACCTATGCATGAATGTATGCACAGGTGGAGGTCAGAGAACTCAGGTGTTGTTCCTCAGGTGCCATCCACCATTTTTTTTTTTTTTTTTGAGACAGGGTTTCTCACTGGGACCTGGGGCACTCCCCAGTGAACTGGGCTGGTTAGCAAGTGAGATGCAGGGGTCGATCTGTCTCAGCTTCCCTAGCACCAAGATTACAAGCGCCCGTTACCATGCCCAGCTTTTTAAAGGGTTCTGATGTCTGAACTCAGGTCCTCATGCTTGCCCAGTAAGCACTTGGATGACTAACTAAGCCATTTCCCCAGCTCACTTAAAAGCTTTTATATCTTTGTTTTCCCAAGAATTTTATGGGTTCTCTCTTTTATAGTAACCCTCTGAGTTGAGCAGTCATGGTTGATTCCAATTTGTAGGTAGGTAGACTGAGGCCCTCCATCTAAGTGATATCCTCAGAACAAACAATCCCCCCACCAGACAGCCGAGAACTACTCACCTCATGCCAGCCATGTGCTAGGCAGTGTTCTAGCAGTGAATAAGATCATTTCCAGTTGCTCCAAGAATTTCCTTTCTAATAGAGAAGATTCCTGCTACCAGCCACCAGCCTGTGTCTTCCATGTTGCCTCAAAAACTTGTCCAAGGTTGATGGAGACCGAAGGCAGCCAGAACCCCCAATCTAGATTCATTATACCTCTCTCACTTAAAATAAGCAATGTCAAAAAACAAGGGCTTGGAAACTTGCTCATATGAACTTACAGCAATGTGACAGCATTCACAAGACCCCTGCAATCTCAATCAGACAAAAACCAGCATAGAACTGGGGAAATGGGCAGGATAGCCTAGGAACTATTGGCAGCTGATCACTGCTGGGTGAGGGAGAGTTGATCTTTAAAAGAGTGATGCTAGACAGGCTGAACAGGCTCCAGTGGATGAACTCACACTGAGGAACATCTGGGGACACAAACTTGACTCAATAGGCCTTAAAAGACAGAATGCATGAAATCCTGTGGGCAGACTGTGGGGGGGTACGATAGGGGAAGGGTCTAAATATAATTAAGATAGAGGAAATCCACAAAATTACAATAAAAAATATACATTAAAAAATAGTGGCTTGGGTTGAGGAGCTGGGTTAGTCAGCAAAGCACTTGCGTCACAAGCATGAGAATCTGAGTCTGGATCCCTGGAACTCACATAAAAAGCTGATGTGGCAGCATTCACCTGTGATGCAATTGATGTGAGATGGCAGAGTAGACAGGAGGGTCCCTGGATCATGTGAGCCAACTAGCCTGGCCTTGGGTGAGGCTCCAGACCAACGAAAGAACCTGGAGCAAACCAAAAGGGGAAAGTGCCTGAGGACCAACAGTGAACATGACCCCTGACCTCCACATGCATGTCATGATGCGCACACACACACACACACACACACACACACACACACAGCATTTCTCCCTGGTGGAAGAGGCAATCTTGAGTGCCCCCTTGTAGGTGAAGTCTGGGTTTTAGTGTTAAACACAAAACACCTTGGTGGCTCTTAGAATCCTTGTAGGCTATTAACATTCTGTGTTTGACCCTTCTGGTATCTCACATTGTTTTGTGTCAGATGTTTCATTTGAATATCAGTAGCCCCATTTGAAAACATTTCCCACAAAAATTCAGATTTCCAGTTAGTCTGGAGAAACCTGCAAGGTCTAGCACTGTGCCTGGCTTGCTTGGGGGCAGACATTGCATGCTTCATAGACAGACCATCTTCCTCAGGTCAGCGCAATTCTTATTCATCAGACCCTTGTTCGCATTTGAATTTACAATCTCTGCTTGAGATCAACTCTGCCATGGCCGGGAGGTGACAGGCTCTGTGACTTAGTTTATCTTGTTATCCCAAATAAGAGATAAAACACTAAGTTATCTATCCTGAAATTTCACAGCCATCCCAGAATCCTTATGTTATTTCTCTAGGTTTTACATTTAATTTCAGCCTGCTGACTGTGTATAGACTGGCCCCTTCTCAATCAAATTCTGCCTTCATTATATTGAAAACAAACTCCCAGACTTGACAGTGCTCTGTTAATTAACATAGGTTAGCATAGGACAATCAGGCCACCAGAGGCTAGCTGGACAAACAGGAATCAGGCACTGTAGAGCATCTTCCCGCTGAGCCTCCTGCTGTCTGCTGGACCTCTTTGGTCCATTGCATATGACAGCCAGTTTTATTCAGTGCAACGATAAGAATTACTATCCTCACTTTCATGAAATGGAATGGAGACTTTGAAAGCCCAAACAGGTTTTCCTAAGGTTACCTAACTGACTAAATGCCAGAATTTGAACCCAGGGCTTTCTATATTCAAAGCCATGGGTCACTTAGGGCTGGGGACAATTCTGTGGAGTGTTTAATTATTAAAAATGATCCTAATATTCATATTCTTCTTCCATAGGTAAAGAATAAGATCTTTCTTCCCCTCCATGTAGCCATAGTATGTGATTTGTCTGAACAACTTTGCACCATGGGCAAAGAGACCATTCTCTTTATCAGTGTGTTTCAGAACAAACATCCTCCCTAGCAGCATTGTTTCAGCCCAGTCACTCTTTGTTCTCTATTTCCCAGGCACTCTGCCAGGAATCTGGAATAGCACAGGTTAAAGTTGTGGGCTCTGTGCCCCCCCCCCAGCATTTGATCTACTGCGTCTTGGGCTGTGTTGCATTGATCATATGACTTAATCTCTCTGAGGTCATTCCTTCACCAGTACAATGAAATATCAATAGAACCTGTACTTGTGGGGTATTGGAAGGATTAAATGAGATACTGCCGATGATGATGATGATGATGATGATGATGATGTCCGTTCTTGTGTGTTTCTAATTGCTGCGATCAAAACAGTGACAAAAAAGCTTGGGGACGAAAGGGTTCATTTCACCTTACAGCTTACAGCTTACAGTTTGTCATCGAGGAGAGCCAGGGCAGGGACTCAGGGCAGGAACCTGGAGGACAGACCATGCTTACTGGCTTGCTTCCCTAACCGGTGCTCAGCCTGCTTTCTTATAGAACATAGGACCACCCGCCTAGAAGTGACACTGCCCACCACATCACTGGGCCCTCCCACATCACTCAATAATCAAGAAAATGCCTCACAGTATGGCCACAGGCCAATCCAATAGAAGAAATTCCCCGATTGAGTCTTCCTCTTCCTGGGTGTGTCAAGTTGACAGCTAAAGCTATCCAGCGCAGTGTCATTGATGCCATCTCTGCCCTGTGTGTGTGAGCACACCCTGTGTTATCCAAGTGTACCCATGGTGGAAAGGTATACCTGGGTAACCTACCTAGCTCGTGGCCGCTTGCACCTGCCTCAAACCCCGAAGCCCAGAGCTCTCAGAGCAAATTGCTCACAGTTCTCATGTTCACTTGAGTCCCTAGCTTTCTGCTCATTTACGTGAAGTAAGGGCAGTGATTTGTAGTGTTAATTTAATGGTGAAATAAGCTAATGTGCCATCATCTGCCACTTTCTTCAACTCAGTGGGCGGAGCTCAACCTGGCTTAGCTCACTGATGGCGTATTAGAAGGAATTCTTTTGGTAGGAATGACAGAAACCCAGTTCAAACTAACTTACAAATAAAGAAAGTTACTGAAACAGGTTATGCTGAATCACATAGCTCAAAGGACAGTACCAAGTTCAGACTATCCCATTTTCTTGAGTGTTGGTTGAATTATCTGGCCTTAGGTGGCGACTCCTGGCAAGTCAGTAGTTTGATTTTATAAATAAAGAAGCTGAGGTAAGGAAATGAGTTGAAAAACTCACAGAACTAGAGTGGGGCTGAAACTCAGCACAGCTGTGTGTTCTAGAGGCCAAGCTCCGTGTCACCTCTGCGTGTTCCAGCCCTGTGATCTCCAGTCCTGTTTGCTCCAGTGTGCTGGGTGATTCCTAGGTGACCGCTCAGCCTCACTGAGCTTCAGTTTTCTCCTCTTTGTAAAACAAGGGAGCTAGTTTCCAAAGTCCCTTCCCAGCCTGATCCTGCTTGTTTCTGGACAGGCCCCTGTAAGAGCAGGTGAGAAAAGCAGAGTGGTCGAAAGGCAAGAAGATGGGGAGGACGACGGGGAGGAGGATGGGGAGGGGCAAAAGCAAGCGGTGGGCTGCAAAATAGGCCACAGGTTGCCTGGTGCTGATTTCTACGTGGAGAAACAGCCATATTATCCTTCTGTGCCTGCCTCCAGCCTTTGGTGGCTCCTTTGACCTTGATTCCCACTGTGGAAAGATGGCATGAAGGCAAACCTGTATTTTAATAGCTCCTGAATTTGTCCTCGCTGTTCCTGTAATTAAACAAAGGGAAGTGTTGTGTTCACTATTTTGCTTCATTTTCATCCAAAAATAGTCACTGAGAGCACTGTGGCCCAACTGTTGTTCTCCCAGATAAACTCAGCAGGGCTGGTGGCATCAAGCATCCTCACTCTGGACCTGAACACTGGAGTCTTTGGAAACATCCCCGGGAGCTCCTGGCCTCTGTTGGGAATCACTCTGCTTGTGTCTCAGTGTGGGGGCAGGTCCCCTCAGGGAGATGGAGAGGAAAAGTCGGTTCCCTCTGGCAGTGGAGTTTCCTGTGGGATATTTTCTGCCCCATCGAATTTCTCAGTCAGCAGGACCTCAGTGGGATGCAGTGTGGTATAAACAGAAAGACTGAAATGCTGGCATTGGAATGTCAGCTCTGGCACATCCCAGACGGGAAGCTCCAGCACTCAGCTTTGACTGGCCTTGTCTCTGTTTATGGCGTGCAGCTA